GTTTATTGTTATAATTTGTTACCTGCATATTTTTAGTGTTCTAGAAAAACGTTCCTTGTCCTTTTGAGGACAAGGCGTCGTTCTTCTCAGAGCAAGTGTTGTTTATACGAATAATCGTCAGCCCCCCCCCCTGCCCAAACCAACATGTCTACCATAGACGTGAGCTATATCTTGAGCCAAAATATGGACGTACTCGCCCAATTTGTCCAAGCCAACGGTATACCCATCAAAATCGACGAGACCCTCGCCAACGCCATTTCTCCCCTTGCCCCCAAGGCATGTATCCCCCCGCCCGCCGTAGCGGCTTTTTTAGCGACCCAAGCGTCTGCCCCGCAGACCGACTCGCCCGCGTCCCCTGACTCAGACATGGAGCAATCTGAGCAATCTGACACCACGTCCGTTACCTCATCCTCCCGGAAGAGGACCGCCCACAGCTCTACCGGCTCCTCGGAGTCATCCGACTCTGAAGGAACGGTCACTGACTTGGCCCAATTCACCCTAGTTAAATCCAAGCGCGGCCCGAAGCGCGCCGCGACTTCCCGCTCAGCCCCCACCCCGGCGACCCCTGCCGCCGCCCGCTCAACCCCCGCCTTTGCCTCCACCTCCCCAGCTCTCGTCGTTGCCCCTACCCCTGCAGCCCCTAACGCTGGCTGCTCTCAGTCGCAAGACTCTACCACCAAGCCAGCAACCCACTGCACTCCCCAGTTAGCTAAAAGCCAAGTCCCACCCCCTGTCTTTCTCAGAGACAAGGCGAAATTCACCAAACTGTCAAAAACCCTCTACGAAAAGGGTTTCAAATATGACCAAGCTACCAATGTCAGCGAGGCCATTAAAATCATGCCGGCGTCCATAGAAGATTTCCGGAATATCACTCGTCACTTCACGGCCGAGCGCGTGTCCTATCACACGTACGCTCTCGCCGAAGAAAGAAAAGTAAAAGCAGGCCTCCGCGGAGTTCCTCACGAACTCGCAAACGAGCACATCTTAGATGATCTAAAGTCCCAGGGCTTCCCTGTCGAGGCTGTGCACAAGATGCACAGCAGCAGGGGCGAGAGGTTAAAACCTCGCCCTACTCGTACTCTCAAACGTGCCGGAGTCGAAGGCCATCTTCCGCGAGGTACGCACTGTGTGCGACCTGCCGCGTGTAAGGTTCGAAGCCCCACACCGACGCAGTTACCCAGCGCAGTGCCAACGCTGCCAACTTTATGGGCACGCGGCAGCCAACTGCTCAGCCCCACCCAGGTGCGTTAAGTGCCTAGAACCCCATAACTTGAACGAGTGCTCTCGGCCCAAAAATGTTGAATCCCCACCCGCATGTGTCCTATGTGGACAAACAGGCCACCCGGCCAACTTTAGAGGCTGCCTTCGCGGTCCTCGCCCGCTTCTGAGCTACAAAGCTCCACCTCAGGTCAATGACCGAACTTTCCCGGCTCTTGGAAGCCGCATGCCCCGCCAGGGCCTGCCCCTACTACAGCCCCCTCAGGGCTCATCTCAGCCCACACAGGGCATCTATCGGCCCCCTCAGGGCCCCTATCGGCCACCTCAGGGCCCTCCTCGGCCCCTTATGAGCCTTCCGCTCTCCCAGCCTGTGCCGCTCCCAATTAACCCTTGGGGCCCAAAGGCAACGAACATCCCGCGGCCCTCCGCCGCCCCACAAAAACAGGCAGACTCTATAGCAGATGACCTAAGCCTAGTGTCTAACACTATGAGTAAAGTCAATATAGGGGAAATCTCTATCCCTGCGCGTAAACTGCGCGCTGCTCAGTCCCCTCAGGACCGTCTCCTTGCTCTTGCTGAGCACATCAATCTACTAAGGTCGTTGTAAAAACACTATGCCGGAGCGGAGCGGAAACCAAAGGGTTTGTCGCTTGTTTCGTTCAATATCCGCGGGTTGCGAAATAACCTCCCAGAGCTTAGGCTCTTTCTTCGAGATCGCGAAGCCGACCTCCTCACCACCTCCCCTCCAATCACCGTCCCATCAGCTTCCTCAAGGCCATGGGCAAACTTTTCGAACGAGTTATTCTCGAGCGCATGAGGCGCCATTTGTTTCCCACAGACGGCGACCTTCATGTCATCCCTCAACAATTCGGGTTTCGAGCCAAACACTCGTGCCCCCAGCAAGTTCACCGCATAGTGGAATATATCCTCAGCGGGTTTTATCCTCGTCGTCAAAAGACCATCACGGTCTTTTTCGACATTGCCAAGGCATTCGACAGAGTCTGGAATGAGGGCCGTATCTACAAATTGTACAATTTAGGCCTCCCTGACCGTCTCGTCCGCCTTGTAGCCTCCTATTTGAAGGATCGTACCTTTCGTTTTAGACACGAAGGCACGCTATCCTCTACTCGTCAAATCAAAGCCGGTGTCCCTCAAGGCTCTGTGCTTGCCTCCCTCCTATATGTACTATTCACCAACGACATCCCTATTCCGTCGAATGATGTTAAACTAGCCCTCTTCGCAGATGACACAGCCCTTTACTCTAAAGGCAACTCACTGCCACAGATTCGGAATAGGATCCAAAAGTCAGTTAACGACTTAGGAGCTTGGTTCCGAAAATGGCGTATCGAAGTAAACCCGGAGAAGAGCTCCGCCGTTTGCTTCGAATATAAACGACGCCGTCTCACCACCACTCCGCCAATTAGGATGTTAGGAACCCCTGTCCAATGGCAAACAAAAGCCAAATATTTAGGCGTCATCCTTGATGCAAGGCTGACTTTCGAGCCCCATATCAAGAAGGTAACTCGCACCGCGCGATTTTACATGGGTAGGCTCAACAGCATGTTGGGCAGACACAGTAAAATGTCCCTCCGCAACAAGCGAACCCTATATAAGGTCTGTATACGACCTGTTATGACCTACGCGGCCCCCATTTTCGCACATGCTAGTTGTAAATGAACTTCAATTAGTTCAAAATCTATTCTGTCGTAGGGCCACTAACTCGCCCTATTATGTCCGTAATGCCGACCTACACCGAGACTTAGAGCTCCCAACAATCCAGCAGTTCCTTAAATCACTCTCTGAGAGATTTTTCAAAGCCTCAGAGACCCACCCAAATCATCTCATTCGTGAGACAGCTGCCTATGCAGCCCCTCTCCACTCTCGATATAGTGTGCGCAGACCGAGAAACTCTCTCTCGGACCCCCCCCCCCCCAACAAGCTTTCGGCTGACCTGAACTGCCTCCTGGCGGCTCAGGCCGAGCCTACTTAACACATCCCTTAATCTGCCTTAGTTAGGCACACTTCTAAGCGGCTTTTCGCCGCTTGCGCCCTCCTTTCTGGCAAGGAGGGTCACGTCCGTATACGGCTTAGGGATCTCTCGTCAGATCAGTGAGCCAATCCATAAAGGTGGGGTTTAGTGGGTAAAAGTCTCCAAATAACCAAGCAGTCGGCTGAGTGGTATGCTATGAGCATTCCCCACCTCCCTCCCCCGCTTTTCGGAGGGTTGCCCATATTTGCTTCGGGCGCAAAAAAATACTGCGGCAAAAAGAGCAACGCGTCTATACAGCACCAGGCCTCGCCAAGTGTCTTACTCTCTCAGTAACTCACACAGTCGTTTACGCAAATGTCCGTATGCATTATATCAGAAATAAAAATATGCGATTTAAAAAAAAACTATTAGTTAACCTAAAGAATTAAAACAATATAACGTTAATATGTTGAATGTATAAAAATCTGACAAAAAATCTAAATGATTGCATGTATATTAGTACGGTTTTTACTTGTTAAAAGAAATTTTTAAGTATATTTGTGATTTTTTTCTGTTGTATTAAATTATTAGTATCATGTTTTCAATACGATATCTAACTAGCATATATCCAGAAAAAAATATTTTTCTGGGTTTGTTTACTTCATTGGATTACGTACTTTGAGGCATTATAAAACTTGCATTTAGCTCCATGCCTCGTCTTAATAAAATATTTAAACTTGCCAATAGAGAGACCTATTTATAAAATATGTTGCATATATTATCTTTAAGTTGTGAGATTAATTGGAGTTATTAATTAGTATATGGCATAATTTCCTTGGATTTTGGTCTTAGTCAAAGTGAAGTAATGCTCTGATCCAAACCACAGCTGCTTTTTATGTGGAAATATGCAGTTTTCGAGAATTTTATTTTGTTTCGTTTGATATTTATTACCAATATAAGTAAACCTATTTTCAAATCAACCTGAAAACCCTAATTGATTCAGTAGATCAAATATTTCCCATAAAGTAACAGAAATGTAATATCTCCTCTATAAGGCGATCAATGAGGCAGCATGATTGGCCATGGCATCACAAGACATAGACTTATCAAATTACAAGGAAGATTTACTTTTTTTTTATCACTACACTAAAAATCTGGATCAACAAACAATGCATTACCTATCAGTATTTTACATCTGGTAGGCATACGCACAATCATTATACCATTTTTTTAAAAGCAACTTCACAGAACTAAAAAGAATAAAATAATTTTCTAACAGCTTCTCATGTTAGTGGTAAACCAGTGAATATAAAAATTAAAGTCCAGAGCGTCCACACTTCGGAAACTATTATGATTAAATATTATATTTTATACCTTTTAGGTGGACTATGGAATATTACAGGCCCAAGGTCACCACTGGACAATAGTTGAAATTGTTACGAACATAATTTTTATTTTATTTTATGTGGGACCACCACTAAGTTAATAAAAAATAACCAAAATTTGTTCACTGTTGACGAAGATAAAGAGTTGAAATACAAAACAAACATACTATCAAATTGAGAACCTCCTCCATTTCATAAATCTGCTAAATATGAGTAGGTAGCTTTCTCTGCATTAGACTTGTCCACAGAATGATCAAAATTCTAGAACATTAATTATATATGGATAAATTACATATTTTATTATACATTTGATGTTATTCCAAACACTTTAGAGTGTATCGAGAAAATAAGTTATTTATTATAAGAAATACAATCTATACACTACAAGTAACACATTAAATTCAAAACACTAATTTATAGATATCTCATCATTTTTTTAGATACTTTAAGTATTTTTTAGCATTAAAATTATCTTCAATGGTCTCAGTTATTTTAATCTTCCTCTTTGGTTTCCTCTTTTCTAATCTAATCCTTCTTTCTTCTTCTGATAAATGAGATAAGTCTAAAGGCAACTGCAATAAAAAATATATTAAAAATAATGTATATTTAAAAAGTTGCACTTTATCATGGTAGGTACCTTTATAATTTTTCTAGGCTCGTAATATCTTATATTAATAGACGATCCATCAGATAAAATAACAGTTGTAAGATACATTCTTGGATAAACTTCTCTATGTATCTTTGTAATGCTAGCTGTATTATTGTTTAAGAATCTGTATGTTCCAAAATATTTTAAGCTATTAATTAAAGGGTTTAACAGTACTGTATGGTTCATATTTAATGTAAGTATAAGAAAGATAATATAATCGAAGATACAAAAATGTTATCAGTTTAGTTAAAGAAAATAATAATATCACGGACTAGTACGATGTTACCGCATATTACAATCACTTTTTTAGTAATTTTAATTTTATTGTATCGTGGTTTACTAGGTTATATTTAGTTTCTCTATCTAGTAGGAGTGGTCGTTACAAAACTTAACTAGTTACTGAAACTATCTATTCACACAATAGCGGGTAGCGGGTTATTGCAGTGCAACGAAACTATCTATTACAGTAGATGTTTTACTCAGTAACACGATTCACGAATCACGAACGAGCGATCAGTAACAAAATGTTTATTCGGCCATTTTCGCGACGCATCGGCGACGGCTTCGGCTGTTGAAGTAGAAGCACATGAGTAAAGAAACCGACTCTTTACGCTGTGGTAGAAGTACCACCGGTCGTCGAATGAGCGCGGGTGCTTTTGCATTTGACCTACGACTCTATTCCCTTCGTATAGATGCGATATTAGAAATAAGAAAGTAAGTGTGCATGTTTTTAACAAAAAATAGTTCAAATTCCATAATTTAAGCGGCCTTGGCCCGGCTTAAATTAGTCTTGTGTTTAAGTTTAATGACACGGTTTGTTCTTACTTTTTAGGCGCGTTTGTTAATATTTTTGTTTTCTTTTTTGTGCAATAATAATATTTTTAGTAAAATAAGAAATAAACACAATTGCATATATTAGTGTTAATAATAATAATTGTACAGTTATTAATGTAAGTAACTAAGTGTAAAAATAATAGTAAAATGTTATGTGATAGTTATCAAAATATATAACTTTATGTGATAATTATTTGCTATAAAATCAAACTTAGGGTATTTTATGCTGAACTTGTGGGTGAATTTATCATAATCATAATTAATGAATAAATCGTTTGCCGTTAAATCTTTTCAAGTGATATTTTTATCAAACCGTGCGAAATGATTTAAACAAATAAATAAATTTAACCATTAACACCATGTCTAATTCTATACGAAACGGTAACAAACGAGTTTTCTCGTGAAACGGACATCGTTTCATTCGCAACGTTTTTCAATTAAACACGTCGTGAAACACTCTATTGAAGCCGCTATTAAAATAGAGTGTTTCAAAACCCTCTATTAAAATAGAGTGTTTCAAAACCCACTATTAAAATAGAGTGTTTCAAAACCCTCTATTAAAATAGAGTGTTTCAAAACCCTCTATTAAAATAGAGTGTTTCAAAACCCTCTATTAAAATAGAGTGTTTCAAAAGCCGCTATTGATATTCGATAGATAGTTTCGTTTCGTTACTCAAAAAAGCCGCTACAACCCACCGTTACTATCTAGTCTGTGGGTTATATGTACTACAATTTTTTTTTATTTAAACTGGCTTTACAGCTCTAGGTTCTAGCCCTTCTGAGCCGTATGCATCTTAGATATTATACCTAATAGTATATAATATAATAAGTAGTAAAGTGACTGCACAGCCCTTAACAATCGACCATCCACACCATATCCCGGCATTTATTATTAATAAGAAAATATTAATACGCTAGTAATATATAAGTCAATTGGAATATATAAGTAGTAATATATAAGTCAATTGGAAAAATGATCGATTAATTGGTCATTTTTCCAAAGATTACGAAAAAAAAGAAGAAAGTTCGAGTAGGTGGTAAAATTCAAGAATTTAAAATTCAAAGAGATTTGTTTGGACGGATTCTGAGAGTTTTGATGGATTACAATGTAGACATTTTAAAAATTTTATCTACCCTATCCAACCAAGAAGCACTCGTTGATTATTTCATTTCTCATTGGACTACTTATGAAATGGTGCCATTTATTGATAATAAATCATACATGTATATGTTATTCTTTCGCTGTTAATGATTCAAACAATGTAGTATCAAAAGTTGTTGATGAGTTGTCATGCCCAGAACAGGATGAAGCTGGTACCAGATTGTATACCATGCGTGTAACATCAACGATCAGTCAAATAAAGTAATCCGAAGTGTTGATACCGATATTGCTACTATAATGCTTGGTCATATGCATCATCTGAAAAATGATTCGTTCGTTTGGATACTTACGGGTACCGAAAATAATTTAAGGTATGTGGACCTAACGAAAATATAGGTAGAGTTAGGAGAATCTATTTGTCAAAGCTTTCCTGGATTTCATGCAATGACAGGGTGTGATTATAATCCTGCATTTTTCAGAAAAGGTAAATTAAAACCTTACAAAATATAAAAAAATATGAGGAATACTAACAAGTTCAAAAAAATCGGTGACAGTGGATAAATGGAAAATAATGATGGACAAAACAAAACAAAAGGTCTTTGATATTGTTCAGAGATTTATATGCAATATTTACCATGTTTGTGAAATAAATGATGTTGATGCTACTGAGTTTCAAATGTTTTTCGATTCATATCTGATGTGACCGAAGCCTTTAACAAAAAAAAATTGAGAAATTTCCATGTTAGTAGTCTACTTCCTTGTAAAAGGGAGCTGTTTCAGTAATTTCTGCGAGAAAACTATATTTGTACGATTTCGAACTATGCTCATCTGAAAAATCCAACTATCAACAAATCAGAAAATAAAGGTTTGATATTAGAAAACGGCCAATACCTACCATTTTGCGACTATTCATAATTGTGTTAACTTTGTTTAATTATTATACAGTGTGGAAACCGACAAAGAAAGCAATGTTGATGACGATCGATCCTCAGGCTGGAGTAACAGTGACAATGGTAGTGAAGATATTGACGTCAATGATAGAAATTATTAAAATAATTCAATATTTCTTTCATCAAATATTATAAATTCACAATAATATTTTTTCACTTTGTAAAAAATGTCTACAAATATAATAAAATTATTTTTTCACTGGAGTTGTTACTGTCAAAACATTGTAACGTGAGTATAATTATGATTATTTATAGTTTAAGGATATCTGACAGGAGGTTGCAATTGTATAAAGAGTCTGACAATGGACAACGTGGTTTCTAATATTATTTCAAAGAAAAATATATAAAAACTGAGCTTTATGCTTTAATGAATTTGAGGTGCAATTTTATACACCTTTGCTACCTATAACCCTTTAATGCAACCGCGACCCAAACTTCATTGTTGGGGATTTGTAAATACACAGAGAAACTTTCAGCTTTAATAAAATGACGAACGTCTGATGATCGCGGGCTATTGGACTATTACGAAAACCTATTCTAATACCTTCAAGTTTGCAGCGTGCTTGAAGCGGTATCTAGTTTACAGTGCGTCAATGTAAACCACTCATGTTCAAGTTCGTCGTCAAGTTTGCATGATTCCGCAACAGTTTAAATTACCGCTCATACACACGTTCAAGTTTGCATAATGCTGCAAGCTTGATCAAGTCAGCAGAATCGAAATCCAATTTTTGTTTCAAGTAGACTTGTCATGCATACTGATAAATATACACCGTCAAGTTAACCGGACGCCGCTTCAAGAGAGCTGCAAACTTGATGGTAAACTGGATCGTGTCGATGGATGTGATGGAGGATGTGATCGTGGGATTTTAAAAAATCTTGAAGTAAACTTTTGGTAGGGGCTGGCAACATTGGATGAAGGGTGGGTGTGGCTCCTAATTAGAGACGTCAGTTTTTACCGTAGACAGAGAAACCTATAGACAAATTGACGCCTTCTTTCGCATTCACACACGAAAAAGATAGATTTATGCAAACGTCTTGCATAGAAATCAGACGGTTTTTTTGTTTAGCAAACTACACTTTGCTAAGCAACTTTGACAGTTCGTAGCGATCTAAGGAGTTTACAAGTTGGTTTAAGTTAGAAGTTGTTTTGTGAGCTTAAGTTTGGTGAATCTTGTTCAGTTCAGTTCTTAGAACAATTAAAATTTTTATCTAAATATATGTTTAAAAGTCATAAAGATTATTGTATAACCTTAAATTACGCTATCGTCCTTTCTCACTCTAGGCCACACTAATCATTAGTCTATAGGTTTCTCTGTCTACGATTATTACACTATCCTGATTTTACTCCCTCACTCCAGTGTTATCGTATGAAGAAAAAAAGATGCACTAATTCCTAATCAAAGTTGCGCTATAATTTACAAAAACTGGGTTTCTAAAATTACCATATTACGCTAAATTGTATCCCGTAAATGTAAAAGGAAATAAAAAAAATGCGATTATGTACAGATATTTTCATTAATTTAAGTAATATTAAATAAATTAAATAAATTAGAAAATTCCACTACATCTTCATGTTTATCATCACCTTCAGATGCCTATGATGAGCCTATGCCTGCTTCTATTCTTTTTTTTTCACAGTTTTAGTAATTTGTCGAGGATATTTTCAAGTAGAATTTTTTTATTGATGACGTATCATTATGCTTACGCTTACGTACACTGTTTCAGCTGACACTCGGTTACATACCTTGCTTTTGACAATGTTCATAACGCCGAAAATCCGCTATACTTCGGCGTTTGAATGTTGAAGCAACAGCACGCTGATGGCTAAGTCCATTAGTTCCCGAAAAGCATTCATCCTAGCCGCATTTTTGTATCGCGTGACTTGAGACCAAAATTTCACTATGTCATCACCATCACCTTCTTATTTGATCTATTGAATTCCATGCAATTTTATCACACTCAGATCTATACTTCTGGCTATAAGCCTTCTTCCTCGGTGGCACTTCCATTTGAAATTTTCACGGAACAATAAAAACTGAGCTAAAAGACTAATACGAAACTCAAAGTTCGAAGTGGGACAAACCAGTTCATCTCAGGTATTAAAGCTTAGAAGATTAATATTAACGAAAAGATTAATGAAAAGCAAAACATCTACACACCATAATGCAAAAGGGAGATAAAATAATTAACGCATCAGCAACATTTTAGTCGGAGAATACCCGAACGATAGACTCGCTAGTGTTTTTTTTATACTGTTCTGTCAACAACTATCAAATTATCCGCCAGATTTCACTAAATATTTTTTAGGCCTTAGATATCTAAAAAAAAGCGCTATAGACCGCTATAAAACGCTAGAGAATTGCACTAGATCTAGCGCCAAATGCGCTAAAACGACAACACTGCCT